CCAGTAAAATATTAGTATCTTGTAACTATGTACAAGTCGCTGAGATTCACCGAGTTTCACTTATCTGAAAATAAGTGATCAGAAAATATTTAACTTATATATCAGTGTAAAGGAGAGGATATAAACAAGAAGGCTAACGTATAGTACTGTGCTTTCGGTTTGTGCCTCAGTGCCTCACCCTTGTTTTGCTTTGCTTGTGCTCCACTTATTAAACTGCCTTTACCTAAAGCCATGAGTTTTCTCATCTTTGCTTTTGCAGGTTCTCTCCCCCATCCCATTGTGGGGGGTGTGAGCCACCAGCTCTATGGAGACTCAGCCGCTGGCTGGGGTCAACCCACCACAGTCACTAGAATATTTTCAAATGTGATAATCTGCTCAGAGATTGTGGCCAGACAGTTAAAAAGAAGAGATCACAGTTGATACAATGAACTGTGATTAAAACTTGAGATACATGTGAATTAAACAAAAACTAAAAGCACGTGGTCCTCTTGTTTTAATATTATTATTATTTAATATTACTTTTATATTAATAAAGGTATTAGAGGCCAGAAACTCCCATAGATACAGAAGTATCTAAGGATGTACAAGTGAGTGCCAAGTTTTGAAAAATAAGCATCTATCTGTGTAAGTATGCAGGATATTTTTTAAAACTTGGGTAAATAAAACATTAGCTGACTAGTAATGGGCGTATCATTAAAAGACATTATTTCAATTATTATTGAAAAGTATGCCTTACCTTTTATTCTTACAGCTCAAACTATATGTAAAAAAAAGAATAAGATGTAAAAGTAGAAAGGAAAAGAATCCATCTCTTTATCCCTTTTCTTCACGTAAGGAAAACTTCTTTACAGTTTCTTAAGGTATGAACTGTGAACAGGGATGAACATTAAGTTTTCTGTGTTACTGCTTAACTTTATTAGGCTTTTCCTAATAGACTTCTATATTTTATAACCTTGAAATAAAATAGTATCATTAACCATACATGTCTTTAATTTGAAAAATGTACTAAACACTTTTTCTTTGAAGACCACAGGAATGGGTGGATGAGATTCACACGCTCATGTAGAGCCAACAATGAGTAGTACACAACAATTCATTCCCTTTTTAACCAGTCCTAAAAGCTTTTTACTTTCCCCTAACCACCAACCAATTAATTTGCCTACCACTTGCTGGCTCGGGGACAATGCTCCCACAACCCCCTCCCACCTAACTCAGTCATTAACTAGGTTAGGGGAGCATTTCCCTTGTAAATGAGTCCCCTAAGCTTTTTTACTTTTTTTCCACCAAAGAGAGAGCAGAGCATACTTATTTTACTTCATATGCAACAGAGAGTATTTCTCTTTAAATATATAAAAAATAAGGTCCTGCTTGACTAACCTGATCTCCTTCTATGACAAGGTGACCTGCTTAGTGGACAGGGGAAAGGCTGTGGATGATGTTTACTTAGACTCTGGTAAAGGTGTTGACACCATTTCCCACATCATTCTCCTGGAGAAACTGGCTGCCCAAGGCCTGGATGGGTGTACGCTTTGCTGGGTGAAAAACTGGATGGAGACCAGGCCCAGAGAGTGGTGGTGAATGGAGTGAAATCCAGTTGGTGGCTGGTGACAAGTGGCCCCCAGGGCTTGGTATTGGGGCTGGTTCTCTTTAACATCTTTATCAATGATCTGGATGAGGGGATGGACTGCACCCTCAGCACTTTGAAGAGGACATCAAGTTGTGTGGGAGTGATTATCTGCTTGAGGCCAGGAAGGCTCTGAAGAGGGGTCTGAACAGGCTGGAAGGGTGGGCCCAGGCCCATGGTGTGAGGGTCACCGAGGCCAGGTCCTGCCCTTGGGTCATACCAACCCCATGGATGCTCCAGTCTGGGGGCAGAGTGGCTGGAGCTGCCCCAAGGAAAAGGACCTGGGGGTGTTGGTTGATTGTTGGCTGAACATGAACCAGCAGTGTGCCCAGGTGGCCAAGAAGGCCAATGGTATCCTGGGCTGTGTGTGGCCAGCAGGACTGGGGCAGTGACTGTCCCCCAGTATGGGGCACTGGTGAGGCCCCACCTCGAGTGCTGCGTCCAGTTTTGGGCCCCTCATGACAGGAGGGACATTGAGGGGCTGGAGCGTGTCCAGAGAAGGGCAACGGAGCTGGTGAGGGGTCTGGAGCACAAGTCTTGTGAGGAGAGGCTGAGGGAGCTGGGGGTGTTCAGCCTGGAGAAAAGGAGGCTGAGGGGAGACCTTCTCTCTCTCCCTGAAAGGAGGGTGTAGCCAGGGGGGTCGGTCTCTTCTCCCAAGGAACAGGCCATGGGACAAGAGGAAACAGCATCAAGTTGCACCAGGGGAGGTTCAGACTGGAGATTAGGAAAATTTTTTTCACGGAAAGGGTTATTAATCATTGGAATGGGCTGCCCAGGGCAGTGGCTGAGGCACCATCCCTGGAGGTATTTAAAACATGGATCAACATAGTGCTTAGTGACATGGTTTAGTGATGGTTTTTGATCAGAGTTAGGTTGATGGTTGGACTTGATGATCTGAAAGGTCTTTTCCAACTTAGACAACTCTATGTTTCTATGATTCTATGAGAAGAGGAACTGGCCTCCAGGTGTGCCAGGGGAGATTTGGGATGGATACTGGGAAGAATTTCTTCCCTGAAAGGTTTGTCAAGTGTTGGAAGACACTGCCCAGGGCAGTGGTGGAGTCACCATCCTTGGAGGGATTTAAAAGTCGGGCAGACGTGGTGCTGAGGGACATGCGTTAGTGGTGGACTAGGTGTTGGGCTGATGATTGGACTCAATGATCTTAAAGGTCTTTTCCAACCTAAATAATTCTATTAAATGGACCCCAATATCACTGTGAAGAGGTAAAAATATTTTTGCCTGCACAAAAGTAACTGATAAGGGAAAGCTTTAGCATGTGTTAAGAAAAGAAGCAATTAGAGTATTATGGCCCTCCACTTTACAAACTGATGGTTTTGACTCTTTCCAAGTACTGATGTTAGTGTTGTTTAACTCATGCTGTGAGGCAAATAACAGAAACAGAATGGGCCCATCATAAACAGCAGGTCAAAATAATCACACACCCATTCATCTGGAACCTTAACTCCTGAGCACAAGTAAGGCTGAGATTTATGAAATTTTAGGAAGGAGCGTGAAGAAACACTTATAGATAGGGCTCACTTGAGTCATTGCAATGATGACATAAGTGGCCATAAGACCACCAAGAGTTGGCCTAGCCAGTTGGAAAACTCGAGCAGAAACACTTTAGCTGTACTAAAAGCTAAGTCACATAAAGACAAGCTGTGTTGGAGATGATGGTGGCTATGGCAGATATTGGATGGGCAATTCTGCTTAATGATCACAATGGGTTTAAGCAATCTGTCGGTCTGTAAAGCAGAGTAGTTTAAATAATAAATCCATGAGCTAATCATTAATGGCTTGCATAATGTCACTTCTAGAGGAGAATTTCCATGTCTTGTAGAAGGGCAACGAATGGAGACATTTTCAAATTAGGAAGGATGACAACAATTAGGGCACTTATTTAATAAAAAAAAAAATAAAAAAAGAGATGCAACAATAGATGATATGACAAAGGCGTGAAACACAGAGGACAGAGAAGACATATCTGTGACTTCTGTCTAAACTCTACAAAGAGATCAAAAGAAAAGTGAAATGTGTTTCAAGATATCAGAGAAGATGAAATGTCCACAGAAAATGCTCCCTCTGCAAATCACAGCAGTCTTCTCTGCTCCCTTTGCCTCGTATTGATGACATCAACATGAAGGGAAGTTCAAGAACCAGCTTGAGACTAAGACTTTTTATTAGAATCTCTTTTAAAAGGGCAAACTACTTCATTTTTAATGAAGGACAAGTGTTAGCAATCAGCAGGAGAACTATCAAAGAAAAAAAAAATTAGTACTGAATTGTCTCAGCTATTTAACATAAAAATTACACTACTGGTACAGACCAAAAAGTCCATGAAGTCCCACATTCTGTCTGCTAGTGGGTAACAGACGACATCAAGAGGATGAACGGCACATTTTTGCGAGCATCAATTTTTGTGCAATAGCACTAAAATTTTGGAAAATAACAGTTTGGGTGGGGAAAGAATTAATCATAGCAAAATTAAGAAAGAAGACAGGAAATAGACTGTGCAAATACTTTACATATGAAATGAAGGAAGAATTAAATGCTTAAGACTAACTGCTGGTGATAAATCGAGAAAATTGCATAAAAACATTTTTGACATGCAAATTCACACACTTTTGAAATTGTCACTCCAGTTTCTAAATAGAGAAACAGTTCTTTTAGAAGATGAATGATATGACCATATTAGATATCATCAGGAGGATTCAGAATTAAGAAGTGAATGTAAAACCTCTTATTTTGCAACATGTAAGTTTTCTAATTTTCACAAGGATGTAAGTGGCAAATTTTATGCCAAAGCCGCCCATTTTTCCACCTACAATTTTCTGAATTTAACATATTGCTGTTCCTGAATTTTACAAGTATCAACTCTCCATTAAATGTATCTGCTTATCGATTAAGCAGTTAAATTTTACAAGTTAAAAAAGTTGTTAAAATATTAAAATAAGTTCCATTAGTGAAAAACTATTAAGGAAACACTTTCTATTTCTAGCTACACTTGTCATGCCCCCAACCAAATTCAAGATCCATTGCAACTTGAGTAAACATCCCTGTGCTACACAGCTGAAATCTCCCTGAACAGTGCAGGTTTGCAAAAGTTACTAATTTCTTCTCAATGCACTATTTAAGGGCAATATCAACATAAATTCCGGTCTCAGACAGAAAGAACATATTGGGTTTCTCAAAATAGGAATTGAAAGACATCTTTGTATGGATCAAAACCAGAAAGTATCTCCGTTTTAAGATTGAATATCTAAAAATAAATGTATAATTTATTTTATAAATTTCACCACTAAAATCTTTGTGTATTGACTACTACAAAGTAAAAAAGAAAACAGGGAAGTGCAATTATTTGCCAAAATCCCATTACCTGTGTGTCAGCAGCACCCTGAAGGTCATCTGATTCAGTCCCAAAGAACTTGGCAGCAAGTTTGACCAATCCCAGTTCCATTCAGTAATGGTTGACTGTTGATACATGGCAAGAAGCTATTGTTAGTTATTAATCAGTGTTAATATGATCAGTAAATTAAAGCTCCAGCTGTGATATACTAACCAAGAAGGAGGGGGGTCTAGAACAAGGACTTAGACAGATGATATCAATCATGTCCACAGAAAAAGGTTTTTATTCCAATAAGACAGCAATTAATTTATAAATCCATTTGGGGATGTAGCCATTATTTATAAAAAGATAAATCAATTTTTTGAACCGTTATTCTTCCAACTGTTAATGGCTTTCTGCCCAACCACTTTGTCGGAGAGCTTGACTCTTTGTTTGAAAAGCAAAATAACTGGCAACTTTTTATGTAACAGCAATTTACATATTCTGCTGTCAGCAAAAAGTTTGTAATGAAAAACTTGGTATAACCGGAATTCACGATGTAACCTGTATTGTAATTAGAGTGATGGTTTACTTGTCTATTGTTTTGTGAGGCACTCCAGTCAGCAGATGGTTATTATGAACAGTGGTAAGTCTAGACAATGTGAACAAATATAACTCCATATTGCTTATTTAATAAATAAAAGCAACCTACAATAATGGTGAGCAGACAAAAGACTACACACAACATTCTTAGGTTTACAAGACAGTAACTCCTGTGGCATAATATTAATTTTCATTGTCAGTAACGGTCAAGTAGTGACCATATTTCAGCATCATTGGAGGAGATAATTCAAAAAATTATTGTTGTAACACTAAAATAGCACTGAGTAGCTTAAAAAAAATGAAGCAAGTCAAAATAGGGGAAATAAACTAGAAGAGTAAAATATATCTTGCAGTGCATCGTCTTCTCCTTAGAGACAGCACTTGGTTCTTCTGGGAGAACAGAATCAGTGCAATCCCTCCCCTTCTTTCCATCTTTATTTTATTACCTTCCTTCTTTTAATTTGATTTTCTCCCTAACTCTCACCTTTGGTATACACTGAAAAACAATGTAGAAAAATAAAGCTAAAATACAAAGTAGGAAAAATAATAATAAGCTAAAAAAGAATAATTTAGTGTGTAAGTGGAAAGTGAAAGAAGAGGGAGCAGTGAACATCTGATCAACAAGAAAGAAGGCAAGAAGAGTCAACTGAGAGAACGATGGGAGTAGAAGAACACAGGGGGAGAACAGGCAACTGTTCTACACTCTACACTGGATTAAAAATAGATAAAGAAATATGAAGGCTGTACATGTAAAATCAAGAGGGATAAAAAGGAGAAGCTAAACAGCTAGTAGCAACAGTCATAAAAACAAATCAGAAAATTTATAAGTACACTAGATACAAATTCAGTCCACCAGGCTGATCTGTTCTGTGAAAAAATAAAGCATGTGTTTGAAAAAAAGTCACTTCAGGAAAGGAAAACCATTTCTTTGTAGCATTTTTCATCGTTGATATTGTTGAGGAGTGGCATAGCCTAGACTTAATCTTATTAGACAATAGAGGAGCAGCAGCACTGGCAGAGATTGAGGTGTCAGGACAAATTGATAAAATCAAGAGCAACAAGTTACTAGGACCAGATGGTGATTATTCAAGATTTTTACAGGAATGTAAGAATGAAGGGGCTGAATTGTTAACAGAAATGACACACTTCCTAGAGTCAGCTACTGAAGTAGAGGGCTGGAAGGTAAGAAATTTACATATCATTAATAAAAATGCTAGGGTTGATCTCAGAATAGCAGTTCAGTGGCCTTTGTTTCAAGAGCAGTAAAATTCATAGAAATTATGATTAAGTATCTTGCTAAATTCAACACTATAGGGACAAATTAGCAAGACTTTGGAACAGAAAAGTCAACCACCCTAATGTACTGCAATTTTTACACACACCAACAAACAATACATGGAATGCTTATTACAAATTATCTTTCAGGAAGTTCTGGAAATAATTCATTTTAAGAAATTCTCTACTGAGTAAGCTCATATTGTTATGTATAATATCACTATATATTATAATATGGTATGTAGCATAGTGTAACAAACATTCTCTGTTTAGAGCTGAACCAGCTCTCTGGACTCAAAAGCAGTGTATTGCCTTGACTATTCCAACTGGTCCTTCTGAGTGGAAAGTTTTATAAAGCAATACATAATTAATTCATTGACAAAATATGTTGTGAAACCAGTAGCTTGTCGGGACTTAGAATTTACAAAGGGATAAGATGTTAGCTGATGTATTAAAAACACATCTAGTTACAATAGGTTTAAAGAAAATCAAGAAATTAATCATGGATTATAAACTCCTAAGCTTCATGACAGTTGTCAACCAGTAGGAAATTAATTTAAAAAGAAATATATTCTTTGAGAAGAATAATGCCAGTGCTCTGGGATCTTCCACAGACACTGGGAATGGTTGTCACAGGAAACCAGACTCTGGGCTATACAGACCAAGATTTTATAAATAGGCAGACCCACGCCACTAAATAAATGTGCAATTTTATAGTAAAGGGAGCTAAATTATTTAATAATATTATTAACCCCCTGGAAACAAGTCTGTCATTGTCATTGTCTGCCATTGACACATGGTCCTTTAAGATCCATGATCTACTCCTTTTTTCTTTTAAGATACTTTTCCATTTTGGGTAATAGACTTTATGCCAAAAGTTTACAAAATCCAAAGCAATTTAGTATGAACTATCCGTTGTCATCTGTTGATTAATAGAGCACTGCAAACCTGTCATATAGCAGAATAACTCTGCCCTGAGTTGTCACTACTTGAAGGTCTTATTCTACCACGCTATTAATGAATTGAGAATCGAAGCATGGTAAACTATTTTCTGCATTTCAAATTGGAGTAAGTCATTCTGTAGCCCCTTAAATTCTATCAGTTTAAGAAAAACATAAAGGGACTAGTGGAAGAGGAAAAAAGATGATTTTAAAGCATGTTCCTCTGGAGTAAGAAGCCTTGTGAATTTGGTATTAATCTCCTGAAAAAGGAGATTAATACTTATATTGCAACAACAATGACTAAGCACTCACTAAAACCAAAAAACCAAAACAGGTACCTTTTACAGCAATACAGCTGATGAAATGGTCCAAAATGCTCAAAACTGGGAAAAGAGATTACACTAAAAGTAGAGCTGCACTTTCTACCAGAAGTCCGTAGAGTGGGTTTCATGCCACTGTAATACCATTTATCTTTAAATATTTGAAATCGAGGGGTAGAATCAAAAATGCAGAGGATGGATTAGGAAGACTTGAGAAACAATGGTGTAAGACTTTTTTAAGTGTCCAAGTTGTATATCATTTTCTGTGTAATAAACTGGTCACGTGGAGTGCTGGCAGAGATTTGGGCACTTATATCTATTTTCTTTAACCGTTACATTATCAGGAAACTAATTTCTATACATAAATTATCATCCTTTATATATCACTAATATGGATTAATGAAAAACAGATAAATAGATGCTTTCATTTTTTGTGGGGTTTTTTTTTTTCTTGCTTATTCTCACTGTTCCGCTAAATCTCTGCATTTCTAAAGCTTCCTTTACTGCTCAACATTTTGGTGAAAGACTTATCAGGAAGATTCTAAATGTGCACTTGGAGTTTTGCCATGATTTTTCAAAGGACTAAGACTAGCCCTAAGTACCATGACACAGACGTAATAAATGTCATTGCTACTAATGGGCTTTCCTTCACTATGCTGAACTAACACAGAAAGTCTAAGTAAATGCAAATTGCTCTTACATGCAATAATTCTGATAAAAGAAAAGGACAATAATGGCTTTTTGAACATCATGCCATTGTAGAGAGTGCCCTCATTAGACTCCTGAGTAATAATATTCCTTTGCACTTCATCAAATGTGAACGAATGTAATTAATTCCGTTTTCATAATTTCAGTCTCCGTCATTATCATGACCATAATAGGATCGACAAGTAAAAATTATACGACGACCAAGGTTTCAGATTTTCACAAACCTGATTGAACACTTTTGCACAAGACTGTCTGTACACCTGGAAAGGGTTGAAGACAGCCTGCTCTTCTCTGCCCTTCAGCGTCAAAGGCAGGCACCGACTGGAGGCAACACCTTCTTCAGAAGGATTCTCACAAGACAGCTGCTCTTGCAAATATTCCTTTTGGAAGAAAAAACAACCACAAAACAGGGTGAAATCTGCCTAAATTTCAAACATTACTTTATAGTGTGCTTGAGAGAATTTCCTGATATTAAAGGGGGGAATAAGTAATCTCTTACAATTAGAAACCTTTTTAAGAGTAACAACGTTTTAAAACAAACAATAAATAGCCTCCATGAACATCTGTCCAACGGAGGAAAATCAGAAAAATCTAAGCTGTTGTTTTGAAATTATCATCAGATTATGTGTATCAGTTCTCATTTAATATATATATGTTAGGTATATGTGGAAGAGAAACCCAAATGTTTTCTATGAGCTGCTCTAATGTAAGATGGTTATTATACGATTTATTTTACATGATAAACTATACACAAATATCTATTTTTTGGACAGCCTTTAATAGTTACTATGTGACTACAAATTAATTGTTTGATGAACATATTCAAACCAGTTGTTTAAACACACGAAATAAATATTGTCCCACTCTTCAAAGCTATTTTTAATTGTTTAAGCATTCAAAGACTAGAAGTCATTTATGATTTACATGGCAATTTTAGAAACTATACTGTAACAGACGCATGATTATTTTGGCCACAATCTTTTCTGTTTTCACTTCTTAAACTACTATGTAAATAAATCATCATTGCATGCCAATAAAGTGTTTTGATTAAATAGAACCATTTTACCAAGAGCTAGATAATGAAACACTCACAGATCTATTTGCTGGAAGGACTACTGTGATTAAACAGTTTATTGTTATTAAAATGAAGTCCATCATGACAGGATTGCCATAACATTGAGCAAGTACTCAAGGTGAGTCTTCATTAAGATGGGTGGATGCAAATGTTCCTCTTACTTTGCAGTACTACTGAGATGATAAACATTTTCAGACTCGGGAACTACCCACCAGGGCACCCTGTGCTCCCCAGTGGGTCCTTCTAAAAGAAGAACTTCACCATCGGTTCAAACTGATCCAATTCTGGTCTGGCCTGAAAGGCACAAGCTCCCTCCCCACCCACATAGGCTGTCGCTGTTTCTCCCTCGTGTTGGCACTAACATATGTTGTGAAATCAGCCAGAAAAAAAAAAAAAGGAAGGTTTCAGCCAGATAAACAAGACTCACGATTTCTAGTAACTACTACAAAAGGGGGGGGTGGGTGGTCGTGGAGTGGGTAAGCACAAGGGCAAGAGAAAGAGTAGGACTGCCTCCTGGACAATCATGGAATCACCTCAGTGTATTCCAAAGAAAAAAAAAAAAAGGAAAAACAAAGGAAAGAAAAAAAAAAAAGGCAAAAAAAAAAAAGGCAGAGCTTTCTTGGTTTAACACAACAGCATAACCCAGCTGTGAAAATACACCCCAAGTCCCTTACCTATATTTCCCCAGCCTCCAAATGTCTCTGTTTTTTTTTTTTTTCCATTCATTCATGCCTTCATGGCATTACAAACATTTTAGTCGTGGTGAAGGGCATTATTTAAAAGCTATTTCTATACGTTTACCAATTCCTCATAAATGAACCGCTTTCCATGCACACATTTTCACAGAGTCTGTAGGCAGCTCTAAAGCGACCCAGCCCTCTGGGTGTCACAGGGTGAGCACAAGCAGAGTCTGTTGGTTTTTCAGTAGAAATGTTGGAAATGGCAGGATTTGAACGTTTCCAGCCGTATACAGCTCACCTCCCAGTACAGGTGTTTTTCTGCCTTTGGAGTATTGTGGATTTAGGTTTAGACAAAGGGACTTACTCAAATGGTAAATGCACTACTTGAAGAACTCCTTTAGTACAGTGCTTATTGTAGACCCTGTAGTTTAGACAGTGCTTATTGTAGTCATGTTTCAAATGTGTGAAAACAGATAGAAATTAAATCACATTTGTAAACACGTGAGCTATATCCTCACTAGCATTGACTGGTCATGGAAACAAGAACTTTATTAAGCCCGACAGCTCAGGAGACTTCGTTTCTCTTCGGTAGCTATTAGTCAAAAATGCTTTTAAAAATTACTTTTTTTTTTTTTTTTTTGATAAATACGTGAAAGATGAAGGACTGTAGGCTGTTTTAAGTCCTACAGCATCTATTTTAGATCTTTATAACATCATAGCTCTATTTCCAAATACAGCCTCCAAGAATCTATATCCCTTTTCCCCTGCTTTTCTAAGGAAAATTACAGAGAACAACAATTTTCCGTCTCATCATTTTGTTCTCTATTCACACGCAATTATTAAGCGGTGTAGCATAAAGATCTCCAAATTAATTTTAAGAACATGATCCCCTGATAGTCCACGGAGTCTCCAAACAAAAGGATGGACCTTTGATCAGACATTCAAGTCTATTTCTTGGCAGTCAAGCACATTAAATATAATCTAAGTTACGAAAAATAATATTGAAAAGTGCATTATCATAATACCATGCTAAGCATTAAAATGTTTTGTAATGGTTTCAAAGGCAATTTGAAGAGACAAGCTGGTCAGGATTTTTTTTCTTTAAAAAAAAAAAACAAGACAGTTTTTTCCACTGAGAAATGTTCTATATTTAACAAAGCTCTTACTAGCTGCTCTTATTCAAGGAGAGACACCTGGGATGTGGAAAGTCAGGTGAAAGTCCCTCTTCCACCTAATTCTCTCAGCCTCTTACCTCCTTTTGGAGCTGCTCCACTTTGTATAAATAACCAAATACCCACAGGAGTCGGATTGTGGATCAGGGTCTCCAGCACCTGATATGGGCATTCTACCCCTTTCGGCTAAGAGCATCATTCTATTTTTGACCCTAGAAGTTACAGAAGGGATTTTTACAGCGATTTCTACAAGGCGAAACACCACCGCCAGGGGAAAAGGGGAGAGTTTGTGCTGGTAGATAATGGCCTGGCGGTTTGGGGAGTCAGCTGGGAGAACCTGGAGATGCAGATTTCGATTCCCTGACCCAAAGCAGGCAGAATAAAGCTCTGAGCCTGCGCGTCCCATCCCCCGGGGCGGGTGCCCTGATACAGGATTGACGTGCTATTTCGGGAGGAGGCCTTGCTCATCATCCTCCTCGCCTCGCTCCCTTATACTTAAGAGTAATCCTGGATGTGCTCCGGGTGAAAAAGGTTTGCTTGGAACTGTATATTACAGTAATAATTTTCACTTCACTTCCCGAACCACTTAATTGTTTGAGATGAAACCTGAAAAGATTCCTTATGGTATTAATATTAGGCTGCCATCCCTGCCTACCTGCCGAGGCTGCCGCTGCAGCTGCCACGCGCAGATGCACAAAGGTTGCTCTTCAGCCTACACTTAGGAACTAAAAGCTTGGCTCTGATTTTCAGAAACAGGGTGCCAGCACCGAGCTGCTCCCAATTGCCTTCGTGCAGACAGAGCTGCCTCATTGGGGTTCTTTTTCCTATTTTTTTTTTTTTTTTTTTTTTAAAGAGAAAAATCTTGGCCTGTGCCTATATTTGCATTATTTTGCATTTTATGATAAACACTTCTGCACACTTGCAATGATCTTAACAGCACCTGCTTATGCATCCCAGGAATAGCAATTTAGTAATTAAAGCTAATAAACAGAACTTTCTTAATTAAGCTGTGTAGATCGGTGTTATACAATTTAAGCAAACCTGTGTTTATTTCGGCGTATAAAATCAGAATGCTTTGGGTAACTTGGGGCAATTTAGTACAGCCTCAGAAATAATGAGATAATTCTTCTACATTGCCCAAATTTCACATGCAGCAAACAAATCTGAATTTGTTTACTGTAATTTCGAAAGCACTTTAACTGAACAGTTATCTAGATTAAGTAAGGTTATCCTGTGTGCGTGCATTCACTTCCTCAGCACAGCCATGGGGTTGGTTTGTTTGTTTTTTTAAATCAGGAGAATTGATTTACCACATTTAATTTTACTTCCTGTGACAGTCAATTTTTCAATAGTCTTGCTGATTTCTTTTTATTTTTTTATTTTCCCTCCACTGCGTTCAAACTCCTAAAACGTATCTATGCTCTACAACATGAATCCGAAGGAAGTTTATGAGCCATACTACTGTTTGAGTACATAAATAAAATCTACATTGTTTCCCGTAAAGTAATCTTTTCTGTACAAATCCAGAAAAGCCTAAACTGAATGGATTCTATTACAACACAATGTGGGATTTCATATTGACTTTAAGAAGCATTATCACCTCCTTGACTAACCCTTAGCTGCCAGCAGACGCTGCCTCAGGCCAGTACACACCTAATTGCTCGGTAAAAAGGCCGTTTCCCTACCTCATTGAGCCGGATGATGTGATAAATTTGCCTCAGGTACTCGCCGCCACCTGGTTTGTGGCAGATATCCAGGACCATCATGTTTATTTTCTGCTCAGTGAATCCAAGTGCAATACCTCCTTCCTCTAACATTGCGCCTTCCGCCGCGACTGAGGCGCTACAATACAGAAAAGACACAAACGTTCTTAAAGTTGAATTTCTGAAAATCAAAAAGGTTAAAACTCAGCTGCAATTGCATGTTTAAAAAAAAAAAACTTATCATAGATTTGGTTCACAAAAAACAAATGGTGCTGTAAATATATATCCTGTAACTCTTTATATATACAAACATATAATACATCTATATAAATACATAATACATGATACATAATACCTTTTTATTACACAAATTTAAATTGTCTTAATCTGAAAAATGAAAACATAAACCACTCTTTACTCTAAGGACATACAAGCAGCAAATATTTTTTTATTTTCTTTTCCAGTAGAGAAGTATCTTTGCTACCAGAAATGGCATTTGCATTCGATCTTTTGTACATTTGTCTTTGCCTGTCGCTGCACACATTAAAGCCTAATTAACACGTCAGAAAGGTAGCCATTACTCTAAGTATAGGTTAGAAGTTTTAAATTGAAGTCTTTTTCTTCCCACCAGCACGGTGGTAACCATTTCACAGGTACCCATTTGCCACTTGTTGCACTTTTTTACTCTTCCTTGTGCTTCTTCCTAGAAGTATTTCTGCGAAGCTGCCAGAAGACAATCTGAAGGTTACAAGCCCAAACGACTTGAAAAACGTGCATTCACAATTCTGACCCTTGTTTGACTGCTCTCTCTGCATACATCTCAACAGCTCTGTACTTGCTTAGTATATACACTGATAAAGTATTAAGAAAAAAACCAGTGCTAAACCTAATTCTTTTCCTCACACACTAGAGCTGCAACACAGATACCTGTTGGCATCTTGATGCATACGGGTCAAGAACTTGGAAGACCACACAATGTATTATCCCTTCTACAATCATTACCGGACTAATTTAAAATATACCAAAGAAGAATTATGAATTTTTTAAAAAAACCAACAACGATATTATAATTTTTTAGAAGTAAAACAACGACAACAATAAAAAAAAAAAACCAAAATGCTTTGGCAGAGTCAGCAGTAAGTTGCAGTTTACTGCAGAATGGTTATGAAGTTAGTTGTGCTGCCAGTGGCTGTCTGACCCGCAGGCTCACCGAAACACTCCACAGCTGCGGGGCATTAAAGCCGATATTGCTTCCACATGCAGCTTCAGAACGTCCTACGGAGCAAATAGCTTCAAAATATAAACTATAATTTTGTTCTTTGCCGAATGGGAGTAAGCGATACTCTGTTATTATGGTGCATTTTACAGAAAAGCTTCAAAGGGATTGATCTCTAAAATCAAAGCAGGCGTAAGGCTGATCTTTCAGTGCCGCGCGCGGACACAGCCTGAATTTCTTGTCAAACTTCTGAGCGACTGACATTGAAAAAGTTGAGGACCTCTGACAAAAGGAGTGTGTCGGTGTCAGCGCCCAAACTGTATCCTTCCCCGTCCGTCACTGCGCAGGTGAAGCAGATGATTGGATTCAGCCAGCGCCGTGATTAATGAGTTCCTCTCCGGATTTGGGACTGCCTATCAATCATGTCATTAGGGAGAATGTGCCCTGGAAGAGGCAGACCTCAGCCAAGGAATAACTGCATTCATCTTCATCTGTGTATGCACCCAGCCAGCCACGTCAGGGTCACCAGGATGAAAAACAATAATCTTCAACTCGACAAATCACTTTGCAGAGACAGACATTTCTTTTCTTCTCTTCTCAGGACGCGTGTTCTTCAGAATCTAACGTGACTGTTTACAGCTCTGCTGCTACCGCACAGTGAAGGTTATTTTAATGAATAGTAATGCTTCCAGGCAGTACACAAGACAGGCAATGCATACAACTCCTACTTTCTGAACCTTTCACTGAAGACACTTTTTCTTTTTTTTGACAACTCCTACTTTCTGAACCTTTCACTGAAGACACTTTTTTTTTTTTTTAAATTTTCCTAAAAACTAAGTTAAATTTGCATGCCGTAATGGAAGAACCTATAGAACACTGAGACTTTTTAATGTATCTAGCAGTCCTGATAACAATAAGGTAACGCAAAATCAAGCAAGGCTTTTGCTTATAAAAATCCAGTGCACTTCAAAGACGTTTCCACAACTGCATAGGTGAACCCCAAATAAATTTTAGAAATTTATGTTTTCTATTTTCTTCCACACGCTGTATCTATTAAGACGTCTAAAACCATTTATAACTATAAATATCTATTATATGCATGTGCACACAGTTACCCACAAAATCCTTTAATGATGAAAAGATTATACAGGACATACTTTTACACCAACTTAGATTTTCAAAGATAATCATTCCTATTTCAAACGAATGACATGAACATCACAAGTCTCCTCTTGAAAGATCTGCTTTTAGTTTAGTATGTGACCATCCTTATTTTAATTGATATTTGAATTTCGGCTTCAACATATTAGTTTTATAATTTGCATTTATAATAACATTTTATCTCTACATTGCATATCTCAGCTACTTATTAACTAGATCACTTTTTCCCCACAAATTGACTCATTATATTTGAATATAAAATTAAAAAAACACTTATGCTAGAGTTCTGTTGCAGAAGTCAGGGGAAGCAGTTTTTTAACTGCATCCTACAACAACTCACTTGGAGAGCAGGTAATGCATTCGACACTTTCTTGAACATAAAATTAGGAGCCCCAGTCACAAACTAGTTCTCACTGCACGCATAAAGAAAACACTTTCCCACACTCATTTCCCACATTTCCTGATGATAACACAGTATTTTTGTGGAACATTAGAAAAGAAAACAGAGCAGTACACTAATTTAAAATTCTAAGCTTCAGGAGAAGCGCAAATACTAAAGCTTTAGTTTTTAGAGGTTATCCACAGTACTGCCCTACCCTGCATTTGTATTATTTAAGAAATACCTATTCTCCCAGTGACATTAGAAATTGTATTATGGAACCATTCTGTTAAGTATCAATTTACACATTATCATTATGGGTTTTTTATTCTACGACTCTTTCAGCCACTGGCATCTGGCTTCAATCTTTTAATCACTGGATTAGAGCTTGTAAATTAGTATTAAATGGAAATGTAAGGATTACAAAGGTCAATGTCAATGAGCATTCGTGTGACACTACTACTGCTCAGTGCTGCTCACATTAACTGACTACTCCTAGGCACAGGATACCGTCCCTTAAAGTCTGATATCAAGGATTCTGACCTACAACCATTATATCCTTCATTTACATGGACAGTTACTGTCAGGACAGCAACAACTGCAACCTTCAAGAATATTCATAAGACAGAAACAATCTTAGTTTCAGTAGTCAACAATTTAATTCCGTAAGTCATGTAACTCCGATGAATCTAATATGGGAAAGCTGATGAATAGTATTTTTGCAGAATGGTACGTGAGACCAGACTGGACTAGGAACACATTGACATGTACGCAACTCCTTGAAAAATCATTATAAGGATTTAAAACACTGGGACCTTAATGTCAAATCTGCAGGGAAGGTTGATATTTCCTCAGAAAGGCACAGCAGGGGACTCTCCTTCTCCTGTTTTGACATAGCCTACTCGCCCTCAGGGTTTGTTATGTTTTAAAATGAAGTACTCTTACTTTTTAATCACAGACGAACACTGAAAGCTTTTCATAGTCCCTCTTAATTTAATCACCACAGCAAAATTAATTCATAAGCACATTGTGGTGCCTTCTAGTCAGTGTACCTGTTCACTTTTGGAAAGATACACCAACTAAATTGTCCACATTTTTGGATCATCACAAAAATACGAAACCCCTAAGTACTATGAAGACACTGTTCCGATGCAAACAGCCATGGTTTACTGTTTCAACAATGCAATTAAGCCTCAAAAGCATGCCACACAGACATCAATATTAAGAAGTAATCCATTTCATATAAAAGTATTGCTCATTTATTTTTTTTTAAAACCGAATAATAGCCACAAACATGCCAGTAATCCAGTAAAATAAAGAACAAACAAGAGCATTTGAAAAATACAACGTTCTTACCAGTCTGTGCTCAATTTTCTAGCCTTCAGCAACTGGCTTTCAATCCAGTTTGGTCTTTGCTGTTCAATGCTTTGTATAACCTTCTGGGTCACTTGCTTAGGACCACTTTTCAGTTTTCCCATAATACTTTCCAAGCACACACGAACTAAACTCAGTTTTTCTTTGCTCCATCTGTCAAGTGTTGCACCTGTTAAAAGTTCTGCAGTATTTCCATCCTCAAATATCCGACATATAATTACAATCAAGTTCCAGACAAGCAGACCAGCTTTCTTCAATTCAGCAAAGTTTCTTGACATTTTTCTCTCAGCCAGAAAAAAGAAGTACTTAATTGGGGGAGGCAAACATGCAATCACTGTAGGTAACTTGCTGATTACAATAGATACCGCCTGAGCTGCAAGCCTTGTGAAGCCTTAAAAAAAGAAAGAAAAGAAGATATGATTAACATTAACATTCTAGTTCTATCACAGCATGCTTCTGAATGTTGTATGATAATTTCTAACTTTCTTTTGTACTGAAAATGGGTAAAAAGCTTAAGTACTCAACACTGTAGCTTGACTTCTATTGTGCTTCCTCTACATAAATCCCCCAAAATCTAAACAATAACGTGAATTAAAAACAGAGAACCTAGAAAATTTTGAATTCAGACTGACTCTATTAACAATTAGTCCTGCTGTGCACAGTTATTACAGAGTAAATGAAAAAGACAAGACCCAGGTATTCTGAATGGTAAAAAAGTTGTCCTCAAAATTGTAATGTCATATATTTTCAACTTCACGAGTGGAGCATTGCACTATGTGTCACAGGATATTACATACATTCATAATCTTTATTTTATTATTATTATATTTTATTATTATTATTATTGTTCTCTATCAATTTTTTTCTATGTTCAAACTTAGAGAACTTCATTTTATCAACTTTCATATAAGAATGCACCCTATACAGCACTGCATTTTAAACATTTCATATATTAAAAGTAGCTATAGAAATAACTACAGAAACATATGCGGCTCAAAGCCCAACACATATCTAAAATGAAAAAATATACCAAAGGTGATCCACAATATTGAGCTGAGTCAAGTTTTTTTAAAAAACCAACAAAATAAACCAAGAAAACCCCTGACCCATTGCACTTGAATTCTCAACTAATTTTTTTTTTTTTTTAATTTTTTTAAAAAAGCAAGCCAGATCTGTTCTGGGTGTCAATTTAATTTGTCACTATGTCTGAACCTTACCTCTCAGCTGACATATGAGTTCAGGGTGAGCCTCAGCCTAAAATAGCCACACAAGGTCTAGATTAGAGTGAGGCTGTAGTGAGAATGATGTGAGCACAGATGTGCCTTAAGATGCTGAAGAGAAGATATATAGAGAGAAATAATGGATGCCCTGACTTGCCTACAATCTCTGTATTCAACATTTCATGCAAGAATATATTACAGTGATACTACTGTATTGAAAATAATCAGGTAATATTTTGGTGGCAATAAAGTTATGGTGAAACGTTCCCGAAAGAGCCTTTTGATATAACAGAGTCTTTAGGCACAGTAGGCTATGAAACTAAACACCAGAAATGACTTTATATCTAATCACCTTCAAAACATCTCCTATTACATATAGTATTTCTCTTTTTTTCAGTAACCGTTTCAACAACCAAGCAATAGTATATTCCATAACAGTGTCAGTGCTCTTCAAACATAAATTGCCGTGTAGTAAAGTTGGGATGAATAAGTTGTTACCATTTCAGTCAACACTGTGTATCTAAATTTTAGAAGTCTTGACTGAAAAGATGATAACTAAGAGCAGAACCGGTTACGGTCATTAAGACCAGAGTGTAGACACTATGCTTTACTCTGCTTTGAATCCCACCTTACTACTGCCAGGTGCTAAAAATGTTTTCAGTACTATTATTTATCAGTACTACAATACTGATTATTTTAAAAAGCTTGTTTGTGTATGCATAGGTGTAAGCCTCAAGAAAGAATAACAGAATTTTAGCATTATGTACTTTAAAAGCAACACAGGGTGTCTGGAAATTGCTCTGTTCATTGTCAAACTCCAACACTCACAAACTCTTAACTGTTCAATTTTGATATGAATTCATTAAAGGGGTAACAAGCCCTTATGAAAAATTTATAAAACAGTATAAATTTCACTCACATTTCCCAGATTCTTTTCTCTTCATTTCCCGAGGAGTGTAATTCCATTCCTTTGGAACCGTTTTCAGTAAACTTTCAGGAACTATTTGCTTGTGCTGGTACGTTCCATAGTTTTCTGTTGCCTCCCATGAATGCATCAAAGAAATTATCTGCTTCACGATACCCTTGACTGAATTAATCAAAGTCAACTTCAAGCATCTGATAACCTCTGGCTCCGACTCACCACAACTGGAAACTTCAGAAGGAAGAATTATTAAATATTCAGTAAGTGTAGTCATTTGTGTAAATCTGTTTCAGAAAGAAGCGTTTCAGAATTCTTATGGCAAGAAAAGCAACAACATTATGATTCATAATAACATAGACTTATTGGTCTGCCAAAAATTAAAGAACGAGTATAAAGCAAAGCAACACAGTGTCTTGTACCATCTTAATACTGTACTAACGAAATATACAATTTCATTTATTTCCTTCATTTCTCCCTCAATATATTTCTAAAAAATTAATTTAAGCTGACTGATGTCTTCCATTTTACATGGAATACATTTAATTACTTGTTAGACGCCAATGAGGCAAATGTATATACCTATTTTTTTCTGCTTTCTTGTCTTGATAGTATTTAATGAAGTTGTGTTTGTTAGATACCCAAGCTGTTATCCCAGAGAACAGCAAAGGAAGAAAAGATACTTCAGGAACAAAAATGCACACAAATAATAGTCATCAATAGAGACAGCATGTTATCAGAGATTGCATGTTAAAAATAGACCATCCTAAATACAGCTATTGACATTACAACAAGCATCAATCTTCTCCACATTCTCAACACCATGGAGAATTGCAGTTCCTCCCTGGCCGTGGAGCAGAGCATTTGTCAGCTCCTTCCCTCATGCTTTTGCTTGTCTCCACTTTTTGCTGATCTAAGTTTTTTTGTCTTCTCTGCGTGGCCTTTCTGGAAGTTTCCATGCAACATTTCTGTATTTTTCCTCCTCTTCTACTTTTTGCAATCCCATTTTTCTCTGAGGAATTCCTGAGCACTTTTAGCACCACTGTCTTCTATTTCGTGATATTCGTAATCCCACTTCCCCTCTTACATTCTCCCATTTTCTTCCTTTCTTTCCTTTTCAGCTTTCCTGCGTTTTAGCCATCATTTGCAAGACCACCCTCCTAAACCTCACCTCTCTTTTCTGGTTGAATACCATTTTTCCCTGGTGGCAGCACCACTTCCTATAGCTGTGAGGGCAGCTTTCCCTCCCCATAGAAAACGAGGAGCCTCTCTGTCCATTGGCAGCAGAGTCTAGATGCCCATCAGACTATATCTCCCTCAACAGGAATCCTTCCTTTTGTTTTTTCACTCTTCTTTAATCATTTCTTTGCCACTTTTAAATCGTGGCAAAGGTCTGGAGCTATTAAATGGAGAGAGACAAAGAACCTGTACTGGTAGAGAGCCACAGAAACTACCTCTTGCCAGCCCGCTGGTCAGACAGACTCTTGGTTGACCACACCGCTCTCTAATCTCTAATCTTCAGAGTTTTCACCACTCCTACCATGACTTGATTGCTCAAAACACTTCGATTATACTACAATTTTGAAGTCAACTACCATCATTCCATCTGATTTATTAGGGTAAAAATAAGACGCACCACATGTCTGAAAACTGACAAGGTTTAACATTAGATTTTAAATACTTATTAATAAATAAAATACCTGTCATATTGTATAAGCAATTCCACAACTGCTCTTTTTCCATGTAGGTCTCAAAAGCAATGCCAAGAGATTTGGGTGATAAAGTGCAGTAAGACAATACCGTGAAGATTGTTTCAACCAGAGTAGGCTGTTTGTTATTTATCTGTTCTAAGAGGGAACTTTGTTCATCACGATTCAATACCTCATTTCCTTCAAAATAAACATAAACATGGTTACAATAATTTCCAAGTAATTCGAGTTCACAGTAATAGATAGCATTAATCAAAACAAACTGCAAACTGTCTCTGAATCCTATTTCAAACAATAATAATACTTACTGATACTGAAATCTGATCTTCCTCTGCATAATGACATTTGACTGTCTTCCTGAATTATATATAGCCATTGAAAAAAAGGCTCAAGCATGTTTACAGACTATGGAATACGCCTGCTTAATTCAAAATGCATTCAGTATATAACTAAAATTTGATTATCTACTAAATGTTAATCAGAAGTAAATTCTACTACTTCTGTAGAATCAGAGTCAAAAAGTTATTAGTGCTTAACTCCCCTTCCCAATACATGTAATGTGAAATAACACAGCTCTATTTAGTAATATAAAATAAAATAAAGTAGCAACTGCATAATCCTTAAAATGGGTTGTCTTTGTTTTTCAGTATAAGACGAAATTGTGAAGAAATCAGTTCCACAAACTAAAATCTTAGTCCTGCTAAGATACAGATATGTATACTTTTAAAGACAACTACTGATTTTCATAGAGTGTAACAGCTTACACCACATGTATTTCTAAAAGCTTTTCATAACCATTATAAAATATTCTCACAGCTGAAAGATAATGAAGTGTTTAAACCTCTTTGAACCAATGCCACTCAGAGGCTTTGACTTGTGCTAATGTTAAAGACCTCAACTTCCCACTTATTTGTGGAATATGTTTTTGATGTTAACAATCATAACAAATGACTGGAGCCAGAACCAATTAAACACTTTTAATTTAAATTTCTAGTTTGAAAAACTGAAAGCCTCTGTAAAAACTATTTTTAAAAAATTACACTCGAAGATGTCATTGTTTTATGCCAGTGTGGATGCCCTTATATCTTTAGCAACCTGTGCAGGAGAAAGATGGGAGAGACTAAATTTCCAGGCTGTGTTTTTCTAGTGCTTCAAATAGCCTTCAAAATCTACCACAGTGGAAAACTGCTGCTTTCCACCCATCTCTGAATGATCTGAGAATGCTGTAAAATTCAAAAGTTCCATTTTACTCTCCTCTGAATTCCTGAATTCACGTGTTACTGTAAACCACTTGGTCTGGGTAGTGTCAAACCTTAATGTAAACAGCCCATAGGATGTAGAAAGCCAAGAAACACGACCACTGGTTTCATAACCAACAAGCTGTGGGTTTTTCCTCAAGGCAGAAGACAGATCAGCAATAAGCATTTTTTTTCGTCAGCTTTTTTCCTATGAGTTGAGTGAGATGGCATATTTTGCTGAGAAGCCTTCCAAGGCCAGACACTTCTGAGTGAAGAATCAAATGGATTCCACTAATTCACTCAGACCAGGGAGGGGTTGTCTGATACGGCTATGACAAAGAGAGGACCAAGGAAGCAGAAAAAGCAGTTCAAAAAGGAAAACTCAAAGGTACTCAAATTGTGAGATGAAAATTTGAACTGAACTTTGATTATATTACTATAAGTATTTTTTTTTTTTACTTTGATTTATCAAAATTCTAGGGAGGAGGGTTTGTTAAGATTTTAAGTACTACATAAACTGTCTTTGCAGAACATAATGGGAAATTGCTTCCTTTAACAGGGTTTATGACTTGACTATATGATCATGCCACATGGGAAGTTTGAGTCACAACTTATTAATAACTTTTTTAATCAACTTAGTGCTACCAATAAATTTAGATAAATGGAAAGAAGTATAAGAGAATTCTGTAGGGGGTTATACATATATCTTCTTATAACTGCTGTATAATAGAAGTCCTCTGCTCTTAGCAAAGATCCTCAGGAGTCCACTGGGAAACCACTCTGAGGCTAAACATACCATGACACGTAAGTAAGTTTTCATTGGCTTTGCCTTGTTATACCCTGAAGTAAATGTTGCTCTTGTTGTAAGAATACCAGACCCTTCAAAGTTCAAGGTGAAGTAAGCTTTCTGACTGATAAACTGTCACTGATTGCAGAATCATGGAATAGTTTCTGCTGGAAGGGACCTTAAAGCATAACGTCAGTTGGTTGATAGATTTAGCTAGTTGATCAGTGTAGCTGGTTAAATATTATGAATTAGGAGTCTACAGAAAGATGTGTAGCTTTCTTTTGCCTTAGAATTTTTCTCTAACGTTTATGAGCTCACCTGTCATAACATTAAATATTCGTCTTAGTTTGAACTCCAATCCAGCCTTCTTGTTAATCATCACATAAGAACAGTATTTATGTGATAGGCATCATACTTATTGCCTGCTGATGCTTCCCTCTATATATTTTCCTTTTTTCACTCGCTGCGTTTGTATATCAAGAGCTAATCTGTGAAGGGAATCTAAAGCTCCTACAGGTAGCTCAAAGGAGATGCTTGTTTTTCACTTTAGTGGGAGAAACATCCACACATAAATACGGCTTACCTTAAATATGTGTTAAAGAAAATCTGCTCTTTGTTCTTTCCATACAGCATAATGTTGCATATGCACCAAGGATACCAAAATACATAAAAATATCAATACCATTAATAAATATGTTTTTAAGAAAATTATGTATCTAGTGAATAACAGCTATGCCCTAACCAGTCATAATGAATCCCTCTTCCTGTGACAATAATGCACTTCACCTCTTGGGATAGTACCATGTATTTTAAAAACATGCTCAAAGAGGCACACTTAGAAGCATAATTTATCCATATTTCTTTCCTACTGCTAGAAACACCTCCCAGTAACTTGCTGACATTATCACACTCACCCAGCTCTTATCTGCTACTGATTTAGCCATGAAATGAATCTTACTGAATTTTGAAAATCATCTGTTATTGACTCTAGACTTCTCCTTCCCATGTGGATTCTTACAAGATAGACAAGCTATAAACAGTTATGCTGTCTTCTTTGACCAAAAGAGGTAGTCAAAATTCAAATTTATACATGCTGTTTCATTTAGGAAAAGGAACTGAAGATGGAGCAAGTTATTTCTGATACAGTTCTTTTATTTGCAAAGAACATAAAACTTCTGCGTTCTTTATAGTTTAAATCAGAGCAGCTGATGAGGATATAAAGAACGCAAGGAGGATATATTTCATTTGTTTACAGAACCAAATCTTTCAGCAGGCACGCACATTACTTGCTTCTCACTATATTCTCAGTGCTTCTTCTGTCACTGGCTCTTTTTCTATTCTTTTTCTGTATCTGTTCTGGTAGATCATTTTACTTGTCTCTCATGGAGTTGCTCCTCTCCAATGAAATCATTCTCCAGTCAGTCTTGACAGCTAGAATCTATTGTAATTTTGAATAAAACTTCATTTTGGCAGAAGCTCTATTGTTTTAGGCTTTAATTCCAAAGAGAAATTTTAGATCACATTACTTCTACCCTGAACGAAATGCAGATCTCAACCCTACCAATTTCAATTTCGTAAAACCCAAATAATAATATCCCCTGTATAAAATGTTACTTGTGAATCCAATGAATGCTAAATTTGTGACAACTAAAAATCTCAACACAAGACAAAAAGATTTAAACAAACTTTATATCACCTGCCCATAAATTATTAACGTATCAGCAAACTTCTTCTGTGCCCATATATTTCTACGTCACCAGACCCATAGTAATTTATTCTCACTCAACTCCCTTGAGAATTTTTTCTCCCTAAACAATTTCTTTTCAACTATCTGAGAAGAAACTTCTACTAATGAATCTCTAGGTTAATGGCTTCTGTGAAATCTATCTTACCAGTGTTAAATAAAATACTATCAATCAGAATACCTCCAGCACTGATGTTATGGGGTAGTATGCTGAAATTCTGGCGTTCTGATAGCCAAAGTTTGATGTGGCGATATTGAATTTAGTCCTATGGCCACGTTACCTCCTTTGTATTACTGCATATGTTGGGGTTGATACCGAACAGGCTACCCTCTTAAAATGTATTCAGTCTGTAGCTCTGCAAGAAATTCCTACCAGAAATGACTAGGTCTTTGAAAAGCTGTCCATGTGACCACATATCACAGTCACAGAGACTATCACAGGTGCATCATCACAGAGACTATCTTCACACTTTGTCAAGAGAAGGTACATGATTCCCAGCCGGGCTCTGCTCCATCTCTGGAGGGGGTTCAAGATCAGGTGGAGGGGACTTTGATCAACCTGGCCTGGTGGGAAGTGTTGGAACTCGATGATCTTTAAGGTCCCTTCCAACTCTAACCATTCTATGATTCTATGATTCTACAGTCCAAATGACTCTAACCATTCTATGATTCTGCGATTCTACAGTTCAAATGCAAATTCCTATTTGATATTTCCGAAACTCCATAATATCAGTTTACTGTTTTCTTCAGCTTATAACTGGAAACTCCCCAAATGGATTAAGGTCCCTTTTCTAGTGATCTTCCAGCTAGAAGTACATCACACCAGTAAATCCTTCTACCATTTTACCATGGTTACGCAGGTATAGTATCCAGTAAGTTCACTGCTCAGACAGGTATTTTGAGGAGATGCCACTTTAAAAATAATTTTCTAATCTTTGGCTGTTAGACTGCCACAATACAGTTTTTTTTTTTTATCCTGGAGAAGCAAAGAAAACTCTCAGGTGCTCTGGAGCTTGTGCTCACAAGCATCATCCTGGATGACCCACAAATATCTAGAGGACAGCGCTATATCTGCACAAGTATATCAGTTCCTCTAAGAGACTCCCATGTGCTCCCCGAATGAGGACAGTGTTGCAGATTAACCCCCAAACTCTGTCAAAAAACTGTGCAAAGCCCTAGAAAACTCTCAGGTGCTCTGGAGCTTGTGCTGGATGTGGTCATCCTGGATGACCCACAAATATCTAGAGGACAGCGCTATATCTGCACAAGTATATCAGTTCCTCTAAGAGACTCCCATGTGCTCCCCGAATGAGGACAGTGTTGCAGATTAACCCCCAAACTCTGTCAAAAAACTGTGCAAAGCCCTATTTCCCCAAAATTGTGTGTGGTTGAACCATGGGGCTGGCCCCACTGCTAATTTTTCCAGACAGATTCTGCCTCAGGATTATTAAATCCAAGGAGTTATTACAAAGAAGTACAAAAATAATGACCTTCAAGTACTTGAAATAAAATTTTTGAATTGTTATACAGATTTAGCCAACCCCAGGACTTTAATGGATATGGTAATTTATTTAAGGAATGTACATTTTATTTTGTAATAACTCACTACAGTCACTCAAAGTTAAAGTTTAGTCTGATTCCTAAGTGAGGTCTATTGGAAAAGTTACCACCTTTCACTGTTTTTTCAGGCTAACTTACAAAAAATCAGTGCTATTCTCCTTTAAATGCCTACAAGCCAATTAATTTGATTTTGTTCCATTAAAATTTAATTAATGCTTAAAATTAATCTCAAAATGCCATCTTATACATAGTGGCAGTCAAAGAGCTGCTTCCAAGGGGCAAAGAACTGGAGTGGGGAGGAAAAAAATCTTTCCATTCTACAAATATATTTTCAACTCCTTTCTCTTGCCAGAAACTGGTTTATAAAAGCACAGTCTTAGAAAACTCTTCATATCTTTTAGTGTCTAGGGAGTTGGGTGATACTGCACCTCACAGTTCTATTTTCTCAGTGGAAGCCCTCCCTTCCCCACCCCACTTATGTGTACAAGGTAAATTATCTGTTTTTGAAGCAACTTGCATTTCTTTGGGTAAAATTTCAGATTTGCAGCCCTGAGCTTATCACAGAATATTTGCAATTGTTACTATGAGTTCAAATTTCAAAGTTTTAGTGGGGAGCAGGATATCATCTAGGTTTAATTGTACTGGCCACACAATACCCTCTCCTATTAGTCTCTCAAATATGCACTGTGCAAGCCAAAAACACAAGGTGAAACTGCCAATGGCTCTGCCCTGCTGTGAAAGCAGTTTTCTTCCAGTTTATCTCCACATCCCAGTATTCACTTTAAAGTTGTGTGCAGAAAATGAAATTAAATCTCTGTAACAACTGGAGCCTAATGTATTCATTGTAATGAATAAGGTGGGTTTTTTTTTTTAAAAAAAAAAGAAATACATTGCTGCTTGTATTGTACACCCTTAAGTTGGTGCTACCATCTCTTCTTCTTAAAGAAAAGCCTCATAAGGCCCAGGGACCGATTGATGATATGTTGCTGACAATTTCTCAGTGACCTCTTCATTATCTGCTACCACTAAGGGGTGAGGTGTCTGTTGACTGACGAGGTTCCCTTTGGTATTAATCCTGTGTTGGGCCAGTGTAACTCAATAACGCTACTGCTCTTTGCTTTATTATGCAAAGAATAACTCCTGGTTCCTGGGCATAAAGACTTCCAAAACAGAATCACAGAATCACAGAATCATCACCGTGGTTGGAAGGGACCTCTGAGATCATCCAGTCCAACCTTAAAAACAAAAACAGAAACAAGAACACACAAAAAAACCCCAAACAACAAAACCCCAAACAACATAAAAAAAAACAACAAAAAACTCCAAAAACCCCCAAAAAACCCCCCAAAAAACCCAACCAACCAAAAAAAAAACCAACCACAAAACACCCCACCACATCACACCCACCCACAAACCAATAATCTTGGTCACTAGATCATGCCCTGAAGTCAGAGACGGTTCTGCTGGCATGTTAATCTCGGGCACTAGATCATGCCCTGAAGTCAGGGATGGTTCTGCTGGCATGCTGTGCATTTACAGCAACTCTGGCAGAAATTCTTAAGAATTCACTTTCACCTTTCTTGTTTCCATATCAGCATCTGCTGGATCCAATAACTCAGAGTATGCAAGCACCACTTTCTTTATTCCTCTATTATTTGTTGCTTGTCAAAATCAGCTACTTCTGTTTCATATCCATGGGTGATAAAGAAATCCTCATAAAAAATTCTGCCAAGAAAACTGCAAACCAGTTGCTTTCTCTGATAATTAACACAGTACCAGTCATCTTCATTGTTTCTCTCTGTAAAGGCACAGCAAAGACTCTGGACCCTCCACTCCCTCAAGAACGTATCTTAGAAGAAATTTTCTGACCACTGGATCTACAGAAAACAACTCCGGGACTATATTACACTGCAATTAACTGTAATTCAACACACCTAACTTGTTTAGTCTTGTAGTTTCAGTTACAGAGGTCCAATATGCAAATCCAATTTTTCTACTATTTTTTCAAAAGTAAAGTACTTTTTACCCACTGGCCATACTCATTGGAGACAAATAAGTTGTTCAGTTTTGGATATCCTGATTTATTGCCATTAGTATTTTTGATGTGCCAACTTCATGTCTGAGGACCATTTTACTTTTTGTGTACATTTCATATATCATATTGCATAAAAAAATGACAGAAGTCCCAATATTGTCACCTCCCTGTCCCTGCTCATACCTGGAGTGACATACATGGATTTTCAACAAATATGATAACCTCCTTATAATATTTAGCAATGCTGAACCATGCCTACATGTTTTCCCCCAAAATACTCTCTGCTGAGACAACTTTGCCTATCCCAACAGCACTGCCTACTACGATGGGAGATACTAATTATTTCTGACCCTCACCATGGTGCAACCATGTGAGAGCAATTAAATTAAATTGTGTGATGCCTACTGTAAGTAACCCCAAGTATTGCTACAATACAAAAAAATGTTATCATTACCTAAAACCACCTATATATAAGCACCTCTTCACACAGAATCTTTGCCTTCTGGCCTGTTTTTTACAGGGAAAGGGAAAGACTGAGTGTAAAATAAAGTAAAATCTGACAAGGTTATTCCTATTCAAAAAATTCTTATGATTTAGTAAATACCAGGGAGTTTCATGATCACTAGGGCAAATCACTCAAAAACTATGGTATACTTAGCCTTTTATCTGTTTTCTTGCATAATATTACACACTGCAAAATTTTACTGTTGATGAGTACATAGTTCTGTAAGCCTTTTATCCTACTGAACAGAAGAATCCAAAACTGTAACTTCTAGTACTAAGGTATACCTTATTAGTCCAGCTTTCCTTGTACTAATATATAATTGCTCACATTCAAAAAAATTAGATTATATAGCAGCAGAAAGCCGCATCATAGGAGACGGAATGAAGAATACAACCATTTTACCATTAGATAATTAACCTTATTGGAATTAATTTAGAAGATATGGATCATTGCAGGTTTCAACTTCATCTAAGCTGAAAGTTTATTTGCACCAATACTGTAATAACATGAATAAAGCCTGTGTAAATAGCAAATTTTCTAATCCAAGGAAGCGTACGTTTCCCCGAGGCTCAAGAGGTTGGTCAGTCAATAGATTAATACCTTCTGTCACTCAGTACCTGTGACAATGTAAGCAGCTAGTGAAATTCAGCACGGAGTAACAGCCAGGAAAGAATGTGACCCTGATCAAACATTTGTCAGTCTGTGTGAAGGATGAGAGGTCTGTGGATGGGCGAGTGGATGCCGTGCAGCTCACAACGCCAGGCGTGACAGGAGTGGAACCAAGGTTGTATCCTTGACAAATGCCAGGCCATTCTAAAGTGACAGAACTAAATTATGCTATATCTAGTATTACGTGGCCTGATCCGGCCCAGACCACGACAACCTTACAGTTTTTTTGATAAGTAGGGAGAATTACTTTGCTAAAGAAAAATAGAAACTGAGACTCTCATTCGCTACTACCGCAAAATTTTGTAAAACATGATTATACCATTAGCTTGTCAACATTCCGGTCATTTGATCTGAAAGCTATCAAAAGCAAAGATGTGATAAAGTTTGTTGCCTTAAACACAATATTAGCAGAATGAAAAGAAAACCTTGTAGAACCATTCTTTTATTTGTTACACTTTTTGTTACGGCATTAATGAGAGAATTAACATGAGGAAGCACATAAATGTCTTCTAGACATTCTAGAATGCATACAGTGACAAACATAAAATAGCTTAAACAAAAACTCTACGAAGCTCTTCACTGCTGAAACATAATTTTGAAAGTGATCTTTCGGATGACTGATCCACACTTTCAAAGTATCTGTCTAAAGCAGTTGTGGTATCAAAGCTCTGTTGAGTTCAAATTCATTTTACTCTTTCACATTTACGATAGCAACCTGCTTTATCAAATTGTAGTCTGCTTTGAAACTATGAATACTCAGATTGACTGCAAAACATTCTCATTGAAAAGTGATTATTTTTTCTTTCTTTTTACCCATTCAAGAACTGTCCTAGTGATGACTGAATGGCTACTGATACCCCCAAAATTAGTTGTTAGCCTTCCTTCAGTATTTAACTAGTTAAAAATGAATTTGTGTTTCTCACAGATGTTCTTATAAGGATTGACAGTATAAATACTTACTCGAACTCCTCAATAAAATTTTCACCAAGAGACAATCACGATGTAGCAATGTTTCCAAAAGCAAGTTCAAATTGCAGTACGGCTGGGATAAGAGCAGTTTCAGCTGACCCTGGGCTGCCATTTCTCTGGCTGATGGAGTCCTTTCAAAATGTAAGATAAAGACAAAATAATGTAGTTAATTTATATATGAAATTAATATCCTTAAAGTGCAGATGTAATGCTAACTCCCTTAAATGTCAATTCCTCCCAGATTACTCTGAAAACGCTTTCATGCTTGCTTACTTTAAGGCAGCTCAGGGAAGGAATTACATTTAATCTCAACTAGCTAAAAGCAAATTAACATTTGGTAGTCTGCCAAAGTTATAACTGATACAAAGCAACCTCACTTATCTCTTTCATGGAACCATGTTTGCCTTGTTCTACCAGGCAAAAAGGATTTTTTTTTTTTTTTTTTTGGTGCTTGAATAAATTTAAAGCTATTATTCCTCAGTTCACTATTACATTAATTGTTTAGTAAGAGCTCTGAAGTGTCCTGGAGAAAGTATATGAAGCTCTTAATTAAAAAACGGAGAGAAAGCTCAAAGGGGCGGCAAAAAAGATTTTTTTTTTTTTTTTTTTTTGGTGCTTGAATAAATTTAAAGCTATTATTCCTCAGTTCACTATTACATTAATTGTTTAGTAAGAGCTCTGAAGTGTCCTGGAGAAAGTATATGAAGCTCTTAATTAAAAAACGGAGAGAAAGCTCAAAGGGGCTGCAGGATTCCACATTAGTTTGACCAATTCTTACATGTTTTGAAAAATTCACCTGAAAATCAGACTGGTTGGGTAAATGCTTTGCAGCAGGGAGAAGTGAGAAAGCCCAGTATAAATTCATTGGCTTCTAATGGGGTTGCAGTTTGTTTTCTGTTTGTGTTTTCCATGTTCTGCAAAAGTTTAGGTTTCCAAACAAAAATATTCCAGGGGTTCCTATGAACTCAGCCAATGACCCAACACCAACTTCCGAACTCAGGTTGGATCAATTAAATTAAAAGAAAAACAAAAAACTCAAACAACTTGACCCATTGTATTTACTATTTTCATCTTCTTGAAACATTTTTTAAAAGAATTTCTCAAAATTGGGTTGTGGGTAATTTTTTTTCCTGGAAAGCTTAATTTTTCATTATTTTTAAGGCTTTGAAATCAAATTTCAACAGGTGTTTAGCCATTGTATTTATTCATTTTGGCTATGAGTTTATACAACAATAGCTGCAAACACTGAAAGTTTATGCACTGTGTATGTAAACTTCTGTGCACACAAATTTCATATGCACCAGTGTAAAAACTACATATGCACTGAGGCGTTAACTATGCAGGCATAAACATTATCTGCCAGCACACACACAACACCTTCAGCATCAGTTAAAGCCGCCTTCATCAGGAGCTACATTTTCCTGTCAGACCAAGGAGGGATTTATCTGCCTCTGCACATGTATTTATGTGCCACTTACACACAACGTCAGCATGAAAAAAAACAGAGATGGCTGCACAAAAACACACAAAAAAATATAACTACTACCAACCTAGAACACCAGGAAATGGGACACTCCTCTAGCTTAGTCCCTCACGTGTACGTATATTTCCATTTCCAGAAAAGCAGTGTGCCATGTATTTTGCAGGGCAACCTCGACGTAACCCAAGGAACCCAAGTTTCCATGGCCCTGTTTCCCAGCAGGACCTTTACATCACACTATTTTGTCAAAACTGCCCAGTTAAAACTGTAGCAGTCATTTTAGTAAAGGAGGATTTTATACACCTCAGCCTTTGGGGTTTTAACAGTAAAGCAAATACCTATGAGTTGAAAACCCAAGTGGGTGCCAGAAAAACTTACGTACAGCTTTTGTGATGTCTCATCTGGTTCATTATATAAAATCACGGACAATGCAGCACTGGCTCAACAATTATATTTTTGCATGTAAGCACATTCTGGCTTCTAATAATATTTATCAAAAATATAAACATTTACATCTTGATAGAACTTGCAACCAAAATAACTTTTCCATATTTGAAACACATACTGCATTCAAACTTTCAGCATTAGGGCTTTGCATTCTTAAAAATATTATCTTAATTTCTGTATGTTCAAGATTAGTTATATATATAGAAACTCTAACACATGTTAAAAACTAATTAGCAGTTATTAATTAAAGTTTAAATTAAAACAATTGCTATATTCACACCAGAATTAGTGCTGTGGCTGGAAGCAAACTCAACACTTCACTAATTCAGTTAAAACATACGGGCTAGTTTAATTTTGTTTCTCCCTTGAATGCCATATTATCATATCTAATAAGGTCACCCATTGCCTTCAAACTATAAGAAAGGAGACAAGTTTGGTCAATTAGATTTATGAAGGATAATATTTTAAATTACTTTAGAAATAAATGCCATTTTTAGAATATTTGAGTTGAAATAAAACTTGTCTGTCATTGACCAGATGGGAAGTTATCATGTTGTAATATACACCAGTTCTTGGCTCTTTCAGCCTCTTGCAAATTGAAATGTACAATGGTGTGACTCACTTGGAGGAAAAATAAAATATAGCAGACATTCCCTACAGCCATGGAGCTAGCACCAATAAATGCACTGAGAAGTTTTGCAACGTGCATATGGAGAGGCATATGTTCTCCCATCCCCGTCGCTCAGTACTAGTGAAAATAAGACTAGCCTCATAAAAAGTGACAAAAGGTGAAGTACATATAAATATCACAGATATAAATGTTCAGTTTTGTACAGTAAAAGAAAAAAAAAAGAGAAGTCTGAGCTGAAAATCGTATGATTAAAAGCCCCAAATGATGCAAAGAGTGAATCACAATTACCACTAAAGGAACTGTAATATAAATTATCAGTAGTTATTTAGTTTGATAACCAACTATGTTATTTTGGTTAGTATCCAAGATAGGAAAAAAAAAGCCCACCCTCAAATGATAAGTTCAAGATTTTATAAGGCAAATAAACATTAACGCTAATTCATGTTAACAACATTAATAAAGATGTTGAAGTAAAATAGATAAAGCAGACTGTAGCTATGTTTGGGCATGAAAAATTATGCAGTAAATCTAGGTAAGCAGTGAAATTGTAAATTGAAAAGAAAGCAAAACTTTCTCTTGAAACATCAGGCTTAGGAAGAGTAAATATTTAATAGGTACATTTATGTCGGATTAGAGTCTTCAGTTAAAAATTGGGTGGGCACAGCTGGGAGCTGCACAATAGCTTGAGCTTCCAGTATTGTTATGGACAGTGAATATACGTTTTTATTAGATGTAAGAAGTAAAACCACAAAACAATTCAGGAAGAATTAGGAAGCTCTAAAAAAAAACCAGGTTTTGGCAATACTTAAACATAATATGTCTTCTTAATACTATAAATGCAGTATTTTAAGACAGAAAAGCTTCCGTGACATACAGTGCAAAACTGGTAACAACATTATAACACCTCAGGATATGTCCCTCAAATTATTTCATTACAGACAGGGTCATTCACTGTTTTTTTTTTTTTTCTGGGCAGCTGAAAAGTATGGTGCTAAAATAAAACATTAAATATTTTACCAACATAGCTCACTCATCACCAGGACAGTACACAGGGCTTTATATAAATGGACTGTCCTCACTCAGGTACACAAACTATATCTTCAAAAGACAGATGTGCTCTCTTTTGGACTCCTCGTTTTCCCATTTGGTGGTCAAGAAGACGTACATTTTCTCACCTTTCACCCAGGAAAAATACATAAATTCTGGGTAACTCTGGAATAATTTTCTGCTATTTATTCAAGACAAATTGTTCCTAAATAGCATCTGTAAAATCCTAATTCCACCTCAGAAAAAGAGAATTGTATCAGACTGAAACAGTATCACTATTTCCTTTAGGTACTTTTACGCAGCAGAGGGTACTCACTTGTGAAGTCATCTTCCAAAATTCATAATTCACAGTATTTTTAGTACTGACCTTGGATTAGGGCATCAAAAAGCTTATCTTCTTTTCTACAATGTGTCCTTAATGAAGCATAAATTTTCCCAGAAATAGAGTGGATCCCTTTTTAAGTGCTCATGCAGTCATCCCCTCTCCTCTGTCCCCCCTTCTCCTCTCCTCTCTCTCCACCTATCCGTAACTTATAAAGCCACCCACAAATTTAATTGAGAGGTTAAAGCACATGATCTCCCAAGCTTTAGAAAAAAATTAAATTACTATTTCAAGCAGGGAAAAGGACACCTCTTGAATTCAACAGTTATTCACTCTGTTTGGCATGGGGTGAGCCAACCACACAACATTGGGTCCCATCACAGCATCTATGGCCACTGCAACATCAGCAGGTACCAGAGGCACCAGGGAATTAGGTAACAGAACTGCTGATGCTGTTGGGCTATGGACAGAAATCAACATATTTTTGTGTAGAATGGGGTAAAATCATCCTGAAGATATTGGGATGTACAAGGCACAAGACACCACGTGTACAAGGCAAGAGGTAATAAACCCACAGCACATTGATCTTCAATAGGTCGCCGTAGGTCATCACTCATACGATAACATATTCCTCCGAAATAGAAAAATACTTTCTCAGAAAACACAATAGCAACTCACAAAAGCAGCTTTTCACGAGGACAGAGAGTGAAAATCTCTCAGGAAATAACTTTTGAAGAGGAGGAGGAGGTGAAGGGGTTAGGAGAGGATCTACACTGGTGTGGGAGTGCTTCAGGTTCAAAATTAGAAAGGGAATGACAGCACAGCTGGTAGCATATGTCTCATATGTAACTTGTCATTATATGCAGTGACACAGAAAAAGAAATTAAGCTTTTGCCTCTAATCATGCAGTTATCTCCCAAAAAAATCAACTACGATCAAGCAGAGTATTTTTCAATGAGTTATTTATATATCAAACCTTTTTTTAACCAGCAATCATAAACATTCTTTATCTCCCCTTTAATTATAAGTCTTTCGAAAGAGCAACTGTGCTGAACTACATTGTTGTCAAGAGCTATATACTCTTTAATTAAAGCAAGAAAAACTTACAGCTAATTCAAATATCAAACATAATGAATATACTAACAAAAGGCTACACAGTGCACTGCTTCCAGCTTGACCTTTCTTACAGACTCTTAAAGTGAAAAGATTAGGGAAATCTGCAATGAATTGAAAAAGAAAAGGTTTCTATGGGTTTTCAATGAGAATATTAATTAGTCATTTATTCAGATATGCTCTTTTCAAAGTGTTGTTAACAGTATTTGATTAATATTGACTACCTGGTGATTACTGTACAACAATCAAATTCTGATACTCACTTTGGTAAGAACGCACGGGGTGATGGTATGCAAAATAACCAGTGTAATGGATGATAAGAGACTTTTGAAAAATCTTGAGGAACGTGTTCATCAGAATTGTTCAGAAATGTCCTGGAAAAAAAGCAAATACTTCTGAATTAAATGGAGGACTGAAAATCCCTTTGGATCATTCGTACCAAATATATGTAAACAGAAGACAAAAAATCACTTAAGATAAATAGTATTAATGTACTATGCATACGCATAATTGCAAATTTACTAATCTTATATACTGTTAAAAATGTCGTTCTATATCTTATTTACTATCACTCTTTGAAACTTGGTCCTAGCACTGCTAGTAGTTACAGCAGTTTTCTTCATATTTTTACTCCTATACAGCATGTTTTCAAACTATGTTTGAAAATGCACTGAATAAGTAAATTGCTCTCCAATCATTGATTTCTACAGCTCTTTTCTTTCTGTGTAATACATGCATCATATTATTAATACTTTTATCATAATAATAAATAGAATATCTTTGGAAATTATAATTTTAATCTTTTGAACAACATGCAAGTACACGTAGACTTTGGATTAAACTGGACAAAAATTCGACCCAGAGGCTTTGGACCTTCACTGGCTTGTGAGAAATAGAGTACTGGTTGGAAAAAACACTGTTTTCAAATATAAGGACCAAATATTCGAATATAAAATTAGGTAAGCTAGTTTTGTGTCACTTCTGCATTACGTCTCTTACCCAAAGGATGTGAGAGGCAAAAATCAGATGTGTCCAATCCACTGATACTAAAAATTAACTACTTTTGTTAATTAATGATATTATATGATTATAAAAATATAAGAACAGAATTAAAGAATTTAATATTTGGGTTTGCTATTTAACAGTAAATTACAATTTGGACCTTCACTGGCTTGTGAGAAATAGAGTACTGGTTGGAAAAAACACTGTTTTCAAATATAAGGACCAAATATTCGAATATAAAATTAGGTAAGCTAGTTTTGTGTCACTTCTGCATTACGTCTCTTACCCAAAGGATGTGAGAGGCAAAAATCAGATGTGTCCAATCCACTGATACTAAAAATTAACTACTTTTGTTAATTAATGATATTATATGATTATAAAAATATAAGAACAGAATTAAAGAATTTAATATTTGGGTTTGCTATTTAACAGTAAATTACAATAAATGTATGAGTATTTGTACAATTCTGTAGCAACCACTAGGCTGCAGAAATCTGTGTAAGGAATGGAAGCCCCTTGGTCTCTTCCATTTTTGCTGTCATTTACATTGAACACCACCCCAGCAGAGAGGATATTGTCTGTTACATCCATCCTCCACTAACCACCATCAATTGTCACTTCTTTTGCACCTTACTTTTCAACACTTACTTGGCTGTGAATTTTTCATCTTAACTTTCCCTGTCTGAAGCTTCCTTCTTTATGTATCATGGCTGGGATTTTCTAAGCTATATAAAGAAGGTAACTACTTTTTAAAAACACCACTTCTACAGAACTCATTTATGGCATATTTGCTTTCCTTTCTGGGGTGATTCAGTGTCATCCCCACTTCTGAGTCATTACTCTTTCTATTGCAGTAGAGTAGAAGGACATTTCAAAATACAAATCCAAAAAAGACATGAGAGAACTTTCTCAGGACAGGAGTATTTTTTTACAAGACATAAGAGAAGCCAGTGCCATGACACAGAAACAGCAGGATTGGATGTAAACACTTGAAACTGGAGATGGAACAGAAACCCATTGGAATACAGACTTCAGGAACTCCTAACCTAAAAGATAAAATCTCCTTTCTTATAGGGTGCTTTGTTACTTACGATATTAATAGTATTTGTGTGTTGTCATTTGAGTATTTAAAATTAATTTTTTAACTCTTTTTCACAGCTGCATGTAAGCAATTTAGATGTGTATCTACGTGTCTATAAGGTCACTGTCTACCAGTAAGACCCCATGTGAAAGAATTACACTTCTTGTGTGTTGTCATTTGAGTATTTAAAATTATTTTAACTTTTTTTCACAGCTGCATGTAAGTAATTTCAATGTGTATCTACATGTTATAAGGTCACCATCTACCAGTAAGACCCCATATGAAAGAATTACACCTGTTCAACAAGACAGACAGGTGCACACCTTCTGAACTTCTCCAAAAGATAGGGTGGGTTTTCCTGGAAATTAATTCTAATAATCAAATGAAATTAGTAGGAAGAATTTACTACAGACTTCGACATGATCTTAAGTAAGCAATATTTGAGCAGAAAGAATGAGCACATTGTGAATTTGTGGTTTTTATGAATTCATGAAAACCGGAAGATTAAAAGTAAAGCTGAGATTGTAATATAGATAAAGGGAGAATTTAAACTATAAATAATTATTTTAAAGACAGTAATTTCAAAACTGTGAGAAAATTAAAGAAAAAAAAATCTGTTCCATACTCTGAAATATTTTTCTTAATACAGCAAAGCGTAGAGTCAGTTTTCTACAAGAAAGCATCATAGACACAGTTTGGGTAGTAATCTAATAAAAAAAGACCATGTCCTGTCTACTGATAGTGTATGAACTATTTGAGAGACTTCTGGACTACAGTAGCTTGTTAAATGTGGTTTCTTGCCTTAAATGTGTGTCTCCTAAGGACAAAGACAGGGCAGACTTTTGGATTCTGGGGCCTACAACAAAATCTCTACAGAAATTTTTAAACTGAGATGGGGGTAGTCTGAGGGCTTTAAAGACTGTTTAAATATTAGAATAACTTCAAATGCTATAAAAAAATTCAAGTGTCTAATGACAATATGAAAATTCTGGTGCCAGCACTTCTCACTGCCCACTGCTGGCTATGTAATTCCTGCCAGAAAACCCAACTCTGTGCCAGACAGTTTAATTCAACTACTCTTCTGACAGAAGTATAATAATAACTAGTAGGAAATTTGTTTTGACGAAAAGTTGTGTTAAAGCAGCTGCCTACAGTCTCAAAGCAGTGGACAGCATCTGTGGAAGTATTTAATACCACAGCAAGATTCCAAGTTACAGGAGTTTTGTTCTTCGGTGGAGTATGACAAGGTGAGAATTGATCTTGTAAACCTCAGTGCAGGTGTGAAAAAATGAGATGCCAACAGGATGCATCCTAATGGTATTTCCTTGTAGACTTCAAGGGATTTAGCTCTCTGTAAGGAACAAACATGACTAAAATGCAACTTCATGAACTGTAACTCTTATATATTAAAATTAAGAGAAATATTTCCAGCCTTTAAAATTGAATGACAGATATTTATACCCAGTAGACAGCAATTTTACCAACAGAATCTCTAAACTCTTCTCCCAGTGCTCAAGTCATTCACCTATTTCTCGTTGAGAGAGTAAGATATAATTCATAGTATGAAATCATAAAAAGGTGCATCCAACTTTCTCTTTATGATCTTCCCTAACAGAAAGATTGTCATCTCCTGTATCAGTTCAAAATACTGAAAAATGTAGAAAAAAGAAAGAACAGATCTGCTATAATCTGAGAAACCCTCAACCTGGTGCAGAAGACACTCTCTACCTTGAAGTCATAAATGGGTCTGTTGTACTGTGCACTGCCAGCCTGCTTCACCTGGATAATTAAATTATTTTAAAAATAGTGAATGGAGGACGCAGTTGGATTTTCCTAGGAAATCCACAAGCAGCATTGAAACTGTTAGATCCACCACACAAACCCCAGCTACTTCATGCAAGTAGTTGACAACCACACTGACTGTGATGACTGAAAATTGTGAGGGATCAAAACCATCTTTTTTTTTTTCAGAGGTTTGGGTCAGCAGCAAGAAAATAGCAAGGCTGGTAGTTGTGGGGAGCACACTCTGGAGACTGCTGCTGTTCAACAGCTTCCTCAACAACCTGGACAAAAGTGGGCAGACAGAACACACATTTAGGAAACTCGCAGGTGACACTAAACTGGGGGAAGCGGGCGCAGGAGTTAACCCAAGATACAGCAGAGTGCCAATCCATGGATGAACAGGCCAACAGAAACTCACACGGAGGTTAAGTGCAACTTTTTGCTCCGGTGACAGAATTATACTAGGCTAGGCTGGGAGCTGGTGGCCTGAGTATCGACTCGACCCAACCCCAAACCTGGAGTTTTATGGCCAGAAGGGTGTAGAATACGAGGCAATGATATATTCTCACTAGAAACAACCAAACCACACACCGGGCTGCATTAGGAGGAGTCTGATGAGCAAACTGAAGGAAGCGATTCACTTCATCTGCTTGGCAACAGAAACCTAGAAAGTTTTGTCCAGGTGTTGGACCTACAGCTCAAGGAGGATGTTAGGAAACTGGAAGGGACTAGACAGCATCACCTGTGATGAGGTTTGAGGGATATAGGGTCTTTTACTCTGGTGAAGAGGTGGCCAAAGGGGTGTCACCTAATGGAAAAACCCACCCAAAGAGTAATGACAAAGACAACTCTAAGGAGCTTTTCTCAGTGGGGGCTGGTGTGAAACAGCAAGGCAAGGTCAGCAGCTTTGAAGGTTCACACTAGACATTGGGCAACACTTTGCACCAAGGTAGTGCAGTCATGGAATGGGTTTCCTATAGAGGTTGCAAAATCTCAGTTCATGGAGGTTTGCATGGGTCCACTAACAGTCATGTCCGATGGCTCTTGGTGATGGTCCTACTTTGAGTAGGAGGTTGGACTAGATGACCTCCAGCAACCCTTTCCAACCAATATTTCCACTATACTAAAGTT